TGAATGAAAGTGTGTCGTCACCACACGTTCGTGAAGCTAATCGAGTATGTATATATTGGGTAGGAGGCCATAGCTCTTAGGTTGGAGGCCATCTCTATTCCCTAGGATTTAGGGCCCACCATTGTTTGAATGCTTTGAATCCCGAACCGAGCTGCTTTATGGATTTTACCATGCGCCCAAAAGCAAGTCGACCATTTCGAAGGTCTGGGACTCTGGGTATATATAGAAGCCAAAGCGGTCTCTATCTACTTGGGTCCGAGGAGTCGTTTGGAAGATTCCTTCCGTTCGCGAAGCGGTTTCGATTCTTGTGGCAACGCATCTGCAGTTCTCCCTTTTTTCGAAGGGGTTCCATATGAACAACCTTTTAAACCGTGCTAATTGAATCATTGAGTGAAGAGCGGTCGTGAATTTCAATCATGGGCTAAAACCTGCAAAAGCGACAGGCCTCCCTCAACAGCGACAACCTTGCTGAATCATGTCCTCTACTTGACAGTATGTTTTGCCCGATGCTGATCATATTTGTTCGCCAGAGTTCTTACAGGACTCTTTTGAATGTGTACCCAAGACCATTATAAAAATGGTTGGCCAATTAAGTTGATGGTTGTTGGAAGCCTAGGGTGTATGTCTATAACACATGGAGCACAATGTCTGTAACACGAACGTTGGAGGGTCTCATGTTGTGAAGGACCCCGAGGAGGTGGGACGTTTGCTGAGCCTCATGCGGAAGATTCAGGCACCGGTTGCTGGACCGAGACTCGTTGACTTCACCACCGAGACTCGTTGGGTAGATTGAAGGCTAGGGCCAACATCGGGCAAGCTTGAAGAGAGGCAGAGAGTCCGAGAGAGCATGCAAGCTTCGTTTTCGCACGTTTTGCACGTCTAGACTTGGGACGCCAGGAGATTCTTGAGCGCTGTGGCATGACAGAGCTCTTGGATGACCCTGCAGCATTGGAAGCAGTGCGATTTGGCCCAGTCGTGCGATGGTGTTGAACACATCGGCCGGAGAATTCAGGGCCCACAAGGTGAAACAGGTGAGCTGGCTGGCGGGAGACGAATTCCTTTCTTATTGGGAAGCTTAGCACGAGTCGTTGTTCTTGTACTCCGGAGATTTGGTCTCATCTGGCAGTCTTTTAAGGTTGCAAAGGTACAAAGCCATGAAAGCAGCCTTTGAAGCTCATGGCTTCGACGAACTCTTCGAAGATCCCGTGAAGCTGGAGTCCTTCTTGGGGACACATCGCCAGGCGATGGAGTTCGCCACAACTGCAGGATCTACCGGAAGATGACAAGGATATGGACTCATCATGACAAGGGATATGCAAAGAATCTTACGAGTCCAAGCGTGAGTTGAAACCACCAACGAGTATGGAGAATCAGGAGGCAGATTACCTTCGACCTCATTGGGAGTTAGAATAATATACGTAACTCCAAACCGCTTTAGTTAGAGTTCCATTAGAATTCATTGGGACTTAATTAGGATCAACTCGACTTGACTTGAACTAGTTTGAGTTTAAGTTGATTAAGTGTTAACTTACAATTTCATCGACATTTGGATGAATAAGTAAGAAACGATTCGATTCATTCGATCGTAAGTAGAATGCATTCCATTGCGGGTGAATAATGTCTCCAAGTGTTTTGTCATGTGTCGCCCTCTGTCGCTCTCTGTGTCTGCCACAGATGTCCCCGATGTCTCCAACAGGTTCGTGACGTCTTTGAGGAGTTCCAACAGATGCATTTGTTGGAAGATGCTGAAGCCGCCCGAAGCTTCTTCCAACAGAGGCAGCTGGACTTGGAGGACAGGTTTGGTGGGCGGAGTTGAGGGGTGAAAACAGCTAGTCGAAACCGGTGAAACCGCGGAAGATGGGACAGACAAGCAGCTTGTCGATTCAGAAGTTGCATAGAAATCAGAAAAACCAAATCAGTTGCAAAATCAGCTTTGCCGCGATGACGTCGGAGGAGTCCTCATCCACTGCAACCACACTGAAGTCCTTGGAGGCGGAGATGGCGGAACTCCGGCGTCAGCTTCAGGACGTGACCCCGGCGACACGTCAGGTCACGTCGGGACCGGGTTTTCGCGTCGTTGGTTTCGTGTTTCGCGAGAGAAAATGCTGGACATTGTTTGAAGAAGGACATGCTGGACGTGTTCTTTTTCAGGAGTTGCAGGAGCAGCGGGAGGCCATGAGGGCTTCTTTTGAGAAGCACGGCTTTCGGCCGCTCTTCGATGATGTGGAGAAGCTGGATTCCTTTTTGCAAAGCCACCGTGAAGTGCGGGATGTCTTTCAAGAAGCCAACCACGAAGACCTGCTGGAGGACGCCGAGAAAGCGCGAATCTTTCTCCAGATGTTCGACCAAACAGAGGATGACCGTCGTTTTATGGCGAAGCTAAGAGAGGTCTTTGAAGAAGCAGGCCAAAGCCGACTGCTAGAGGAATATGAGGCCACAACGGATGCAGGAGATGATGACCATGCAGATGAGGAAGCGGAAGATGAAGAAGATGATGCAGAAGCAGATGATGCAGAGGAAGCAGAAGAAGCGGATGAACCAGATGAAAGGGATGAAGACGTAGATGAAGATGAGGAGGGAGAAGAGGAAGAAGGGGAGCCTCGAGAAAGCTTGAAAGACAAACCATCGGAAGACACTGACGAGCTTCACACTGCTTCCAAAGGCAGGCAGTGAAGTGGCTGTGGTTCAAAACCCAGAGCTCCACCTCCCAGGTAGTCTATTCTGATCTATTCTGTCCATTTTCGGTGGTCAACCCATAGTGTCCCAGTGTTGACCCTCAGCCAAGTGTGTTGATGAATTCATTGCCAACACACGCACAGTTGATCGTGTGACGGAGTAGATCGGTCGACCCATAAAATCGGAAATCGGACCTGATGAAGTCACAGGCTGGTCTTCTTGTTTGTTGAGCAGGAAAAAGCCTGCGACTTCTCATCATTTTTTGTTCATGAGGGTTGAAAAGGACAATGATGGTGTACATGATTGTTGTGTCACTGATTTGAGTAGGTGCCCGTAGGTGGTTCAAAGGGAGACCGCCCTCACCAGGTTACTTTTCTACAGGAACTCAAGGCCGAGGGCATCCAACCATCCACCAATTCATGGAAAAATATCTATACGTACACCCGCTTGAGTGGAACTCCCCAAAGGACACGGATGCAAGACATGTGGCACTTGAAGCAGTGCTCACAACTAATCAAACTTCTTAACCACTGTGCTAGGTTGAGTTCATGGGCGGCGGATTCAGCAAAACAACCGGCGGCAGGGAAGACAGTGGCGGCAGCTCCGATAAGGCCGCAGCAGTCCTTTCGAGCGCTACGGGCTCATCTCTTCCGCACCAACGCCTTTGAACGGTTCCTGCGAGAAGTAGGCGATGGTCTGTGCGGGTCTGTGCGGATTGTCGTGCGGTGGTCCGCACTCAGAGAGATGGCTTCCAAGAGCAAACGTCAGTTTTGGTAACCCCGTGATGTTCGCACTTTATAGACTCTATATGACTCTATACATGACCAGTCTCCAGTGCTGAACACTGACACCTGCAGCAAACGTGCACAAGAAACTCTTGCTGCATGTTCCGTCGAAGTGCGGATCTCGTGAAGTTCTGATGCGATCCGGAGGAACGGGCGATTATCATGGATTTTCCCCATATTAAACAGGGAGCCCTTCGGAGCTAGGAGTTCCCCAACCCTTGCTAGGATGAGATTTGATGTTGGGTCAGGGCGGAGGGTGTAGCTGTAGCGGACTCAGTCCACATGATGGGTCTCCACAGATTTTTGTCTTTCTGAATTCGTTGTTTTCGATTCACACCAGTTGAACCTGATTTGATCGACTGAACATTTTTTGTGTTTTTTTTGGATTTCTTCTGTCGACCCTCTCGACGAGAGGCATGGAGCATCTTCTGGATGATCCCAACGAGTTGGGCCGCCTGCTGCGGCTTTTGAAGGAACTCATGTCGATCCTGGAGACCTACGGCGCCTTGGACTGACGATCAGCCCAGTGGTGCCGACTTGGCACGTTCGGACTGGGACTCGGCACACCCACCCCCGACAGACGATCTCATGGACCCAGTGGTTTTGGGGGTGGGCCATCGGTCCATTTGACCGGGGAGTACGGTGGAAAGCGGTGTTGGCAAGGGGAGCGTCAGATGGAAGGAGGCTGAGGAGGTGCTGAAACCTGTGTCGACTGAGGATTGAAGGAGGTGGAGCACGATCCAACCCGCCTGGCAGAAGTGCTTTCTGCTTACAGAGCCTTGCTGGGAGCTTAGCCTCAACGTGCAACAGGTACACCTGGTACACCGTGGCGTAGAAAGACCAGTGTCTTTACTTTTGGAAGGTTCGAGCCTTGCAACTGAGGGAAGCTGCCTTCAAAGAGTATGACATGTCGGAGCTCTTTGAAGATCCGGAGTATTCCTTGAAGGCCACAAATGGTTGAAGATTTGTGGCCAAATGGCACAAAAGATATCAATAGATGGATATGAGTTTGTTGTCCTCAACGGGCTGAAAGCAAGATGCTATCTCCATCCTTTTGCGAGGCCTTCCTGCGGAATCATCATCGCATCCGGGCCGAGTTCGACAAGTATGGCCTGGGATATTTGTTCGACAGTGTGCCTTCCATGCGCGACTTCCTTGCAAGGTACAAGGCGACGCGTCGCGAGAAGCGCGTTTCGGGTCCGCGACCTGCGTCCATACAGCTCGATTGAGTTCAAAGGCTCGGTCCGTGCCTTGGTGAACAGGGGGGTCCAGGCTCCGTTGATAGGCCTGCACGATGCATCCACAAGAATGGTCCGTTGATTCATGCCCAAAGCTCTAAATCTTGTTCTTTAGCTTGCATCATGATCAGATTTCTTCCATGAACCGCAGTACTGCTGTTGAAGGACAACAATACTAGACTACACATTCTTTGGGAGCCTCTAAATCATGGTGGTTGGCACGCTACCCAGCTGAGTCTTCACTTCGAATCGCAGGACATGGAAGACGAGCTGAAAGCGATGAAAGCCGCCCGCGCGGGCGAGAAGTTGGCTGAGCGGGATGCAGACGCTGGGCGAAGTGGACCGTTCATTCACTGAATGAAGCTACTAGGGGAAGACGCTGGGAAAAAGAAGCTACTAATTAGGGGTTCCTGGCCATACTACTAGGAGCAAGAACGCTACTAGGGGCTCCTGGCCATACTACTAGGAGCAAGGACGCTACTAGATGAAGGATGGAGGAACAAGAAGGATGGAACCGTCCAAAGGATGGAGGAAGGGAATGGAACGGATGGAGGAAGGCGTCACTCTAGGAGATCGGGTCTGCCTGAACAAACTCCACGAATGCTGCCATTCGGAGGTTTTTCAGCGGAGTTTGTCACCCAACATATGATTAGATGTTCCTGTCCTCCCTCCAGTTCTCTGACATTATGTTGTCGGTTTTGTGTATGAAAGATGAGAGCTTTCCACCCCAATCTGAATTCAGCACCCCTGATCGAAACAGCAAAGATGCAATCAATGCAAACTCAGTGAGTGAAGAGCCGATGTTTTCGCATCTTTCTGAAGAAGAAACAGGTCTCTTTCTTCACTGTGCCCTCCTTCTCTCCCGGGCGCAGTCGACTGAGGAAATGGGGCGCCTGGAAAGTCGACTCTTGAAGAAGGCGGGTCGAGGTCGACGCCGACGGTTCGCCGTCGACCCCGAAGGCCCTCTCAATAGGCAGGTGAGCTGAAACCAACTTCCTTTCGGGATGGAGCTTGTAGACGACATGAGAGGTACTCAATCTTTGATGCCAAAAAGCTGTTTTGCTGGTGAACGGCTTTTCCAGACTTGACAGCAACTCCTTGCGCAAGCAAGGTAAGCAACTCCTGTCAGCCTGTCACATGCTTTGTCTTGGCGTCTCAGGAGGAGGAGATTGAAGCCCTGAAGGAACGGCTCAAAGAGTTTGAGCAATTGGGTGACGTCGAAGCAACTTCGCCGAATTGGTGTGTGATAAACCCAGTGAACTCAGCAAGTAAAGCACGCAGGATGAGGACCTGGACTTCAAAAAGCCCACGGTTGCTGTGATTTGCATGGTATGACATGTATTTGTGCCACAACTAGCAGCTTGAGTCTATCCTGTTCACTGCAAGAGTCGGTAGAAACTTGTCACAATTTTTGGGTAAAAGCCTCTATTAACCCTCCCTCATTTGCTGTTACAGGGAAACAAAGAAACCTAAAGCCATTATCAGAGCTATTTTGTTTTGATAAGCTACCACCCGCTTAATTAAGTGCATGAAACGGAGGTCACTGGACCTCCACTCGGCCTAAGCAAAGTGCAAAATACGTGATACGTTTCCGTTTGAAGAATCATTTTTAGAGTAATTGCTCGAGCGGACTCACCAAGACCATCCAGAAGTGGAAGGCGGACTCAGAGGAATTGAAACGTCTAGCTCTCAGCACACGTTTCATGTCGCGTTCTTCGTGAGATGGAAGAGTAAGGTTTTAAATGTATTCGCAGTGAAGAGTGAAGAGAGGACGCTATGATCGGGGCTCCTTGGGCTTACTACTAGGAGCAAGGGCTACTAGGGGCTCCTGGCCGTACTACTAGGAGCAAGTTGCTACTAGTAACAAGAGTGAAGAGAGTTACAACATCCTTGTAACTTGGTCCATTGCCATCCATGATTTACACCCAGTTTGATGCTTTGGAAAAGATGTGTGTCCCTGAAGGCCACCACAATTCAGTTTCCCCAAACATCGTGGTGAACCAAATGAATCGTGCGTCCAAGCATCCAGCTCAATGAATCCAGCTCAATCATCGGACCAAATGAATCGTGCGTGAGCGATGCGAACCTAGTCGCGCCGCCTCCAGTTCCCGCCCGAAGCGAACAAACTCGTCGCCCGGAGCCCACTTCTCCCGGAGGCGCCGACCGTTTTTGGTCGCACCCTGAGGCATTACGCGTTTGTACAACTCTGTGTCCAGCCGCCTAGCAGAGCTGGCCACTTGGAGTCGAGTTAGTCGAGTCGGGCGGAGCCCACAGTGTTGAACCTCCCATCCTCAGGTCACATGTCACATGGATCTTCATGGCAAAAAAGATGGGATTCTGTTTGGGATCTCACGTTCGGTCCCTGAATGCCACTGCCAAATCGCTGTGGGGTGCGGACCCGCTTGCAGGAGCGTCTTCTGGCCGCCAAAGAGCGGGAGCGAGAGGAGGCTGAAGCGCGAGAACGCATGATGGCCGTGAAGTACAAGGAGTTGATGCACATGATTTGACAATCTCATAGGGGATCGAACGAAGACTTCGGTTTTAAACAGAATCTGATTGCCAAAGGAGCTGGACATTTTCAAGCTGGATATCATTGCCCGAGAATTGAAAGCCCTAGACAACGAGCTGCAACGCGTGGGCAGTGGCGTCAAGGGCCTGAATCAAGCTGCGGCACGGCTCAGGACAACAGCATGGCTCGGTGATGTTGAAGACATGAAAACAACAATTTTTTCAAGTCCGCCCTTACTTAATTGAGTAGGCGCCTACTTGATTAAGTAGGGGCTAAACAGTAAGAGTCGGTAAACACTTGTCACTATTTTAGGGAAAGGCCCTTTTACCAACCAGGCCTTTACCTCCACATTTACTGGGAGTACGATATACCGTTTAGGCATGCTTGTTGGAGAGCTACCTTAGTTGCCTCATCGAGATTCATGCCGATGATCCTAGGGTCTTCACATCGGTTACTGCCTGTTCCGGGAGGATTCGTTTGGACACCACTCCTTGCTGGTGCTACACAACGCTCGATTTTGCTTGTAGATGTAAAGATGTAATAGATGTGGGGCGTCAGTGAATTAGAACTTTTCAGGCCAAGGCTAAGGTGCAGTTGAGATGTTTGAATTCACATTGGACTTCCGACGTTAAAATGATTTGCGATCTGCAAGGAACTATGATGAGCAACAAGGCATTGGCAATCAAAGTGACCAGCTTCTTGATCAGCAGCTTGGCTACAGTCCGAACCTTTTGACAGGCTGGTGTATTGCGTATGGCCGGTATGAACGAATGATGGAACTGAACTCACACAGCTGATCCCACATGTTCGGGAAAGGACACATGTTTGGCCTTTTCCCGTCGCGTACTTTGAGAGCTGAAGATCCCAAGACCAGTCAGCCCAGCCAGCCCAGGTGCAAACAATTGCGCTCTCACATCCGTGATGTCATCAACAAGTGTCTCTCAGAGACTCAAAAGATGCAGCTCGATTGCGTGTAGCATCGCGTCAGCCCCTCTTGGAGTATGATGAGTATTAATTGTACACATGTTTATCTCCGCGACTTCTGGGGAGCATGAGCTTTCCAGTGGCACCAGCATGGGCTTTGCGTACGCTCCTTTTTAAAGCCTCCCCATCATTAGCAAAGCTGATGAGTGCGACGGTTCATTGACTCGCAGGCACATTGGTGTGGGCATTGACGACCCTCTTGCAGCTGGCGACCTCAAGGCCGCTGTTATGCTGGGACCTGTTTGAAGAAAAACCACCAGACGGCTGGTGCTAGGTGCAAGACCTGTCAGGTGAGGGTTGTGTTAGAAGAGGATCCCGCCACTCCTCCTTTTCTTTATCTTGATTTTGTGTGTGACTTCCCATCGCCCAGGATGGAGGCACGATGATTGCTACAGTCTATGAGGAAATCGAACGTGTCGACCATGGCAGCTCGAAAGCTGCCAAATTACGGCAGCAAGATGAATCGCGGCGTCGCTGAGAAGCGCTGAAGCAGATGGGTCAGGGTACAGATGCTAGCAGAGATGGTGTTTTTTGGTGAAGTTCAGGAATGAATTTCTGAATTCCTCCTAGGTTTCTTTGCCGAAGGCAAGGGATTAGCATTCCGAGGCAATCAAGGACAAAAGATAGCGCTCTCCCTTGGACAGAGCAGAAGGGGCCCAGATGTTTCTGGGAAGGCTGCTTGACAGGACCCCATGCGGAAGGCTCACAAATGTATCTTTGCACAGCTAGTCACTAAAGCGGTTTTGTGAGAAGAAGGGCCAGGGGAGTTGGGATTGCTCAGTTAGGAGGACCCGTGTCATAAGAGGAGTGGTTAGGATGTTGACATGTTTGCTGGCTGACTGAAGCAGTTCTACTGCTCAAACCCACCAAGCAGAATTCAGTCAGAACATGTAGGACATAGACTCATGTGTTTCGAACATTGAGCTCATGGGGCTCTGTGATTTTGATATCACTTGCTTGAAGTTCTGCCACGTTCTGGACATTCAGCCATAGTACCATCCTAGCATCACCAGGTTCATCTTAAACATCGGCATTATTTTGGATGATCATCTGAGACCTGCCATGGGAGCCCTAGGCCTCGCTGCACAGTGTTTAGACTTTTTAATCATAAGAGGTGAGTCGTTCCACCTCCTCTTCTTTCTCTTTGACGGATTGAAGGGTAAACCTTGGATTACTTTGTGCTTTGAGTTTGGAATGAGTCAACGGCGGAATGGCACAGTTTGGCTTCAGGTTCGAACGGCACAAGAAAAGACACATCAACATGTTACTAGTAGCTTCTTGACTAATAGCGATGGCCTCCAACCTAATAGCGATGGCCTCCACCTAGTAGCTTCTTGAGTAGCTTCTTGCTAGATCCTTTTTGTACACTCAGAGGCTCAGAGGACCCAGTGAGGACCCCATGGATCAGGTCCCCATCAGGCAGAGGAACTCCGCCCGCTTTCGCGCGCTTTCAGGAAATTCCGCCGAGCTCGAGGCGGAGCTCATCAAGCGGAACCGGGAGATCGCCAAGGCGACGAAAGCGGGAGATCACCCGAGGTTCTCGCGGCAGAACGGCCGAAAGGGTTTTACCGAACCGTCACCGGAGTCGTTGTCGTGTCGTTTTGTTTGGATCGAAGTACAGCAATTTTTATGGTCCACAAAAAAGAAGCGCCTCAACTCCTTCAGTCACACACCGAGAAACTTCAAGTCGCTCATGTCTTCGTCTCACATCTCGTCGTTGCGAACCGTCGTGCGCTGCTGTGGAAATGGCTCTGCCAGGTCCGCGATGAGGTGATAAAGCTCGAGAGGCCGCACAGAAATGAGTCCAGTCTGGCGGCCAGAGCATTCATCACGGACTGGGGAATTTGACGCACTTCTTGCTGTTTGCACCGTCTTCTCATGAATGAATTGCTATTCTCATCTATTCTCTTATTAATTGCCGTCCTTTGATGAAACGTCGACGGATGTGCGTGGTGTGGATGTGGGCTGTTCATTGGCACCAGGCGTTTGCATGAAGCTTCGCTCCGTAACGATGACTTGTTGGAGAAGGTGAGGAAGTGAGAAAAGCTAGAGGAGTACGTGAGGAGTACGATGGATGGAAGGAACCCACATGGATGGGCTCCAACCTCATAGCAATGGCCTCCAACCTACTAGCAGTTACTAGCAATGGCCTCCATCTGGAAGCCACATGGTCCTTGGGAAGTCCGAAGACATGGCCTTTTGTTGCTTGAACGACTTGGATGATGTAGAGAGAAAGAGAGAGTCCCGGACAGTGAATGGCTGGCGAGGTCGGCCTGTTTGGGGATTCCTGCCTTGTAGTGCATCATTCGCATCACAACGAATAGAAACAACAACTTCTTTCCATCTCTCATAACTCGCGAGAGACATCATCAAGTTGCCGTGTTCGTTTCTGAGATTTCAAGTCAGCACAGTGCTCGACTGTTCAGGTCTCGGTGCTCGACTCAGAGGTGGGGAACTCCGAATGGGCCGGTTGCCACGTGTGATGATGTTCCAGGGTACTCCGAATGTGGAAACATATTAAGTGATAAATCTACATATTGTGTTCAAAGGCAATGTCATGAATCATGAACATACAGGAAGATTCTTCATACAATCCTTTTAAAGAAAGATTTGGCACATCTTACATTTTCACAACTTAACCTTCAGCTTGTCCAAGCTTTTCGTACAGAATCTCCAGGTTACGAAGAAGACCACCCTTCTCACCGAATCGGAGCAAAAGGCGCAGAATGAAGCGAGAACAAATCTTGACACTTTCAAGGAATGCTTTGTGGTGTGCCGAGACATGCCGAGACATGCCTCGGCCTGCCCGTCACAGCCTAATTAAGATGTATAAGTGCAATCAAAACCTGACTTCTTCCGTGCGTAGCTTCTTGTTACGTGCGCAGAAATGGCCTCCACCGTGCGTGGCTTCTTGCTAAAAGAAGCTACTTGCTCCGAGCCCCGATCGTAGCGTTCTTGCTCCTAGTAGCGATGCCCTTTGCTCCGAACGTAGCGATGCACTTGTTCCTAGTAGCGTCCTTGTAGATACTAGTAAGGCACTTGTTACTACTAGCGTGGCACTTGTTCCTAGTAGTAATGGCCTTCAGGTGGCAGCTTTGGAAGAGAAGCTCAACGGATCGGAACAGGCCAACCGACCTGGGACCGTGCGACGGAGAGCTGACGAGACAGGACCTGGCTGCCCTTTCGGTCGAGACGGTGAAGGCCCGTTTGGTTCAAGAAAGATGGCCTTCACATGGCCTTTTTCCAATCAGGATCTCGTTGGCACATTGGAAAAGCATCAGCTTTTTCGCATGACTGATCCCAAGTTTATAAGAATCCATTTTCTACGTACAATTCTCTCACTTGTATCGCCTGCGCTTTGGATGCTTAGACAGCCCTTTCTGGCCATGGAAGCTGCTTTTGGGCTTGTGAGATGATTCTTGGATGATCAGCAAGGAGGTTTGGGCGGCTAGGTTTTGGACCAAAACCCATTTACTGCCTTCCAACATAGAATTAGAACGAGCCCGAGTCAACACTGGAGCAAGTGTTCGCGCGGACTATACCAAGCCTTTCTTTGTGTGTTTGGCACACTTCTGCATTCTGCACTTGACATGGTACGATCGCTAAGAGGCTGCCGCGGTTTTCCAGGCCAAGCCGATCGAGGCGACGCGGGTGTCTCTGCATCCGCGTCGACAAACGGAGTGACTCCGAGTGAAGACCGAGTGACTCGGCGCGTTGAGGCATTTTCAACATTCCCGTCTGTGGTGGATTCTGTGCTCCTACTCAACATCCTGAGGACTGTCAACTCACCAAAAGGCCACCAGGTTGAACAAACCTTTTCCTTGGTCAGTGCTGTTTGTCGATCTTTTTGACATGTGTCAAGACCTGGAGTCTTGACCATATCCTCAGTACCCACGATTTCGGTCATCAAAGTGCCAATGAGGCTTGAGGTTTCTTGTCGTGGCAGACTCATAGCACAGCTTCGCAGGACACCTGCCTCAAACACTTTTCCAATGAGTACACCTTGCCACTTGCGGGTGTGCCCCAGCTGCACGGGTGCGTCCAATTACCTGTAACAGTCAATGAAAAGAACTACTTTTGAGAAAGGCCTTTACCAGCCATCATCTACCCAACATATATACATATATATATATATATAAATATACATTTTCTTGCAAGATATGTAAATAACTAGTGTAGAAAATAGAACGATCAAGATCTGAAGAAAAGAAGACACAAGCAACACAAAACATCAAGAGATTCAGCTCAAATCAGCTCCATGGGTGCCGCTTCAAAGCCTGGGAGATATTACCAAAAGCTGCCAGAGGGTCCTCCAACAGTGGCCCGGGAAGAAAAAGGATGAACACCAGAGATTCAAGGGTAGACGGTATAAAGACAACATCAATTCACAAAGAATAAAGAAAGAGGAACACCTTTTGCTTGGTTTCTGAATGGCTGGTTAGTGGCTAGAGTTCAGATCACATAAATTTTCGAGCTTATTTCAGAGTTTCTCTGCCTGCCCTGCTCAGGTCTTCATGAAGCTCGGCCGCTGCCTGGAGACGAACCGCTGCTGCCGGCGCTGTGGCTCTGCGGGCACCTTGTGGGGGAAGCGGCACCGACGCCGCCCGGAGGAAAAGGCGTAAGGCGTTCGGATGGCCTCCAACCTACAAGCAATGGCCTCCCTTACTGGAGATGGCCTGCAACCTAATATAGATATCAAAGAAGCAGAGCAAACATGAGCAAACTGCAGAGCAAATGAGGTCTGCATTCTCAGTTGGATGATGTTGGATGAGATTGCTAGCTTCCTAGCTGCTAGCTGATCTCCGTTTTTTCCATCAACAAAGACCAATCAGTCTGAACTGGTGAAAGGGTAATATATAGTCAGCCTGGCCCAGGGCCTTGAACCGAGGATGTTTGATGGTGACCTCATTTTGGATCTCTTTCGTCGCATGGCTTCTGAACATTTACGCCGTGTTGGCCTTATCCAGCAGCCCCGAGGCTGGGCTGGCAGAAGAAAACCAGTTCTTCTCTTGTAAGATTAGAGCAAACAAGTTGCTGTAAGCAGTGCTTTTGGTTAGTTCTTTCTTTTTTTTCAGAAAGCGATCAAAAGGTGTGCAAAGATGCATGAACAGAAGCCAGACCGTGCGGAAGTCTCACTTGTCATCTTGAACGACATGTGCAGGTTGTCAAAGCCACAGCTTGGGCCAAGGGGAAGATCTCCTTCAGCGGGAAGTATGGCGGCGCTGATTCGTGGGTAGGCGCTGACTCGGAAGATGGGAAGATGGGGGAGGACTCAGAGGGCGTCCTTGCTTAGCCTTGCTTCTAGTAGCGATGCTCTTTCTTACTAGCAACTTCTTGCTCCTAGTAGAATGGCCAGGAGCCCTAGTAGCTTCTTGTTACTAGTAGTAAGAATGCTCCTAGTAGGAAGGCCAGGAGCCCTAGCAGCGTCCTTGCTCCTAGTCATCTTTAGAAACGGCTGTGCGCTGCGCTGCGCACGCGTCGCGCACGCGTCGAGGCCTGGGCGGCAGAGTCGATGAGGTGAACTGTGGTTTGTCCGACTACACGGACTCCTGCAACGCTTGGTTCCGTGTGCTGCCCGCAGGGAAGACACCGTTTTGGAACTGATCAATGTTTTTTTTTGTCTGTGTAAAAGGTCAGCACAACATGAGAGATGCATATGTTTAGTTGGCTGTTGGTCCTGATCCTGCAGTGATTGTGACTTAGATTGGAAGACTCTGTTTTCCGCCGAGCGACTGTATGACTCGTGTGACGCAAAGCAGCGAGAGCGCGATGGCACGAAGGCGCCAATGCCACGAAGATGAAGGAGATTTCACCAGGTGCCCTGGCAGCTCATGAGGCCGTTTTAAGCCATTCAAAGTCATCAGGAATGACTTCAAAGGAGTCACCAGGAATGTAGTAATGTACAGTGCGAGTGTTGGATAAAACAGGCTTGACAAGACCAGGGTTCCTCATCTTCAACCAGTCATTTTGAAGCTTCAGTGTGTGGGTGGTGGTTAGCATCCTTTTCTTACGGTACAGAGTCGGTTCGGTTCTTTTCGGGGTAAAAAAGGAGGGCACTTTTTGACTCGGCTCCTCGGGAGGAGCCGAGTCAGCCGAGTGGAGGTCCATTGCTTCGGCAAGCTGCGACCGGTTGGAGGAAGACCATTCCTCAGGATTCGGAATGTCCAACGAAGATCGGCCAGGATTGGCCGCTCTGAAGCCGGATGGATGGAAATAGCCATCGGCCGGAGCGACGATCACGGAGGATCCATTCCAACCTGGTCGCCCTTCTCAGCTGAGGAATCTTTCAACGACATGTGGATTTCAAGGACAAGAGGTCATGCCCCCAGAGCATCGTCGGGGCTCCCAGTGTGGTACAGAAGGGAATTCAGGAAACTTCAGGAACTTCATCACTTGGTGCCCTTCTAGACGTGACAAGTGGTGCAGCTTTAAGTCCTCGATTGCGTCTAAACATTGAGTTGGGTTGCTCAATTAGTTCGTGCGACAGGCAGTTTGGGTCAAGCTGGACTTCCTTCAGCAATCAATCCATGTTTTTTTCTTGGGCGAGCAATGCTGCTGCACCGAGAAGGAACTCCGACAGAGCTATTCCGCTCACCAGGATTGACACCCAAAAACGTTCGCTCACGGCGAGGTCTTCACAGGAGGCCATAAGTTTGGAGATCTCATTGAGGAGGCGGGCTGCTCCATTCTTTGTACTGGGTGTGTATTTTTTCTCTTTCCCTGATAACTACGGTGGAGTTGTGTTGACTGGCTACTTGTCTCAATCGAAGTGTTGAAAAACATACGTCATGGAGGTGGATGACTGGACACCGGAAAGGACTCGCCTGAAAGAAGGGAGTTCTATGATATCTAGGATTTGTCGGTGTAACAGGAGGCCTTGTAGGCCAAGGTTCAATGAAAGTTGAAAATGGCTGCCGCTCGGTGCCGCACACCTTGCCACATCCGCCGCGAGAGCTTCGTTGCGCGAAAGCACCGGTCGGAGGTCGTCGGATTTGATGTGGAGGCATCTCAGGAAATGTGCCAAAGCATCTTGGCTATCTCAGCATGGCACAGGTCCTGGAATGTCCTGCATGTCCACGAAACCGTGTGTTTGGCGCACATCGACCTACGATGACTCCTATAGGGGAATACCAAGCATCTCCCCAAGTAGTTTGGATTTCTTGACATTTCTGGTCTCAAGACATTTCCGAGTCTCAGTTCGAAGCGTCGTTTTACCAACATGAGCAGAGGCTATGCATTTTCCCAGGTTTTTCTTCCAGAAACACATTGACATGGGAAGAGATGTTGAAAGCTTCAGAGACGTGGATGGACCTCCAAGGTTGCTTGGACTCGGCGGCCAGCACCATCAGCTTCGCTGTCATGGGCTGCTTGGCTACGTTGACATCGGGGTGGATGAACTTCGGGAAGGGCAGCGGGTTGCGCTGACTTGATATTCTGTGACATGCAGGTGAGCTGATATGCATTGAACAGTTTTGTGCCTGCAGTTTCTGGTGCATCCTCCCGCATCATCTCTTCGTATCCCGCATCCGCCTTCGCCACGCCTCCCAAGGTGCCATCACACAGATCCCACAGATGACCACCGATTTGCAGCGGGCGACACGCTTTGGAGATGTGAACTGCCAGGTGTCGGAAACAACATCATGTGCTTTCATGAGCTGAAATGGAGTCCGACATAGTCCGATGGCTGCTATGCATCGAAGGCGACGATGGGTGCGATCACATCATTCTGGGGCACCTACAGCGGCATTTCTTCGCTGGCCTCTTTCAGTGCCTTGCTAAGATGGTAGAGCAGGTCAGTAGAGGTAGCTATAGGAGAGTAGTTGCAGTTCATCTTCAACATGTTTTGAAATGCCTCTCGCTGTCCTTTTTTCGCTGATACCGTGTGGTATATATATATATATGCGGTCTTTGAGGGTTTCAGAGCCTGAGGTTATCAATGCTGGCGACGCTTTCCGAGGTATGCACCTTGTCATAGATGGCCGGTGTCTGCCAGACCGTGCTGAAAAACTCGCCAGAAGGAATCGCCACCATGTGCCACCATTGAGTCAAGCAGTCGACAGGGTGCCACTCTTCTGACGTCTCCGCTCGCCTTACCAGGCAAACTCCTCGTGAAAATGTCGCCTGTGGGTCCGAGGTCAGAGAGCGGAATGGTGTGCTGGATTTCTCTTGGTCGATGGGACCAGGGCCTCTTGGAGCCTCGTTGATGGGCCGCCAGTCGTGGCTGGTGTTTGTGCAGAACACACGTTGATGGGCCCGGAAAAGGAGAGAGTTCATTTGGAACTGTCAACTTGCGAATGTGCGACTGAATGTTCTCAAAAGAAACACACAAGCAAAACAAAGGGTCTAAAAAGGCCATGATAAATACATGTGCCTGGGCCTAGTCAAAAGAAAGCTATTAGGTGGAGGCCATTGCTATTAGGTTGGAGGCCATTACTAGTAATAAGAACGCATTATAGATAAATACGTCATTTTTCCTGACCTTGGGTGCAAGGCTTTCACCAAACGCGGCATTTGTTGCAGTCACTTTTCTTGTTACATCATATCGCTGAGCGTTGTGTGCAGGGTTTTTCATGTTCTTAAAACTCTCATTCCCAGGCTGAGAGTTTGGTAAGAACAAGAAGCTACTAGGGGCTCCTGGCATCGCTACTAGGAGCGATCGGACGCTATGTTCGGGGCTCCTGGCCTTCCTACTAGGAACAAGAAGCTACGAACGGGGCTCCTTTGGACTTTGGAGACCTTCTCGCGAATGGGAAGACTTGGTCTTAACAGTCATAATTGCACAGCAGCATTCGACTGTGGGTGATAAGGTTCCTGTGTATGCTGATCGCCACGATTCTCAAACTATGGGATGCAATGGCACATTTTATTCTGCCCACACCCAATGCAAGACACACCAAGCCACCAAAGGAGGCGGGGCCGGTTCTTGCCACATCAAGATCAGCCTGTGCTCTCTATTCTAGATGAACATTCTGGCCCCTCCAGTTTTACAAGGAATTGTAGAGCCACAACTGGCCACAACCAGAATTGATTGCAAACACCTCACCAGTCCATCTTCGGTTTCATACGCTAAACGAGAGCAGTGACCGGAACCTTTCGATTGGACTGGATCCTTCGTCTTCCTGTGCTTCATCGAATCGAAGCTTCACCGGTCGTTGTCAGTGCGACGACATCTATGACTACATGATCATGGCTTATGACGTGCCAGATTCGGAGATTGATGAAACTTCAGAGTCTGGCTCAGACAATGCCTGAGGGAAGTGAGATGATAATATGATGGCCAGTAGACCGGAATACTTGGCTTGGGTCAGCCTTGAATTGGTTTTCAGGATGTTCAAGTGATGCAAGCGTTGTGAAACGCCACAGGACATGTTGCTGGGACTCTCAAGGCCAAAGGCATCCACGCATCCACCAACTTATGAAAAGACATCCACACATTTTCCACGCATATACTCACGTAACCCCTATTGTGCTTGGCTAGGCAATGCTGACGTGTCACCCATGCCTAAATGAAATGCCTTGGTACCTTCAGGGCGGATGGACTTAAAGTCTCAGCATTTCCACCACCGATGACTTGAAATCAATTGACATCAATCGAATCGATTAGAAATCGCTGGTCCAAGCTCGATGAATTTGTGACCCTTGGGGTCTTTATGATGCACATTCCAGCCCTTTCCAACCTAGCTCGGATTAGGCAAGGCTTTGTTCCACTCTGCGAACGAAGCAGCCTTGCCTCCCAACTACGTTGGTCCAAACGGGCGCGGAGTCTTCATCTTTGGCGTGCAAAGGTTCTTTGAGCCATCGCTCTGCATGTCGAGGTCATAGTTGAAAGACCTAGAAGCGATGGCCTCCAAGCTAAGAGCAATGGCCTCCAACCTAGAAGCCATGAACGATAGTGAAAGTCAACTTTTATAAGCTTAGATCCCATTGTGGGAGAAACCCTGGAAGCACGCAGTCTTTGCACTGGAATGTTTCGGTTTGGGCCTTTGATCCGGGTTTGCACATTTTGAGGGAGTTTTCCAACTTGAAAATTGAACAAAGGCAAGTTGAGACGTTCTTGTGTGACCAACCACCTTCAAGACCACATGCATGTTGAAATTCTAGTCAGACAGCCTGGCGAATGTCCGACTGCATGGCAACACGTTTCCAACACCACTACTAGTAAGAACAAGAAGCTATTAGAAACAAGAAGCTACTAGGAACAAGTGCATCGCTTCTAGTAACAAGTGCCTTACTAGTAGTAACAAGGTTCGCTACTAGTGCCTGACGGTTCTTTTGGGCCAAATGGTTCCAAACGGAGAGACCGCGCAGGCCTTGGAGACTGCGCAGCGGCGCTCGGCCGAGTTGGCTGGCGAGGTGGAGGCCCAGAAGGCGGAGGGGAGGACACGACCGAAGACCTTCACGCCGGAACGGCCAACTGACTAGCGGCCTCCAGCGATGGCCTCCAAGACTAGCGATGGCCTCCAACCTAATAGCGACAGAAATCGACCGTGGAAGAAACCGCCAATGAAACGGCGGCCAGGAATGTGTGATTTCGCATGAAACGGCGTGGCTATTGGATGCTGTTCAGATGCCTTTTTGGGTTCACTCCGTCATTGAAACTCTTGTTCCGGTCAGCGAGTGTTTGAAGACCGTCTGGAGTAAAGCACGGTCTTTTCCTCTTATCTTTCAAAGTAAAGCACACGTGAACAGGAATCCTACCAGAAAGAGGAAGCGGAGGTTGCAGCTTTGAGAGAAGAGATCCGCAGGATGGGTGTGCAGCATTCCGAGGAGCTAGAGAAGACGAAGGCTGATTCTGCCCATGCCTCGGACCTGGCTGCAAGCATGGATCGGCTTCAAGCAGAATATGCCGAGGCGAAAAAACAAGGAGAGACAATTGAAGCCAAGGCAAAGGAGGAAATTGCAGAGCTCAACTCACTGCTTGA